TGTAACAATTTTTTTCTTCACTTTGTTATCCTTGACATTTTCATAAAACTACAACAATTGTGATAATTTTGTATCATTATTATTAATAATTGTAATCATAGATGTTGTAGTATTTACATGATTTTTTCATGTGATTATATCGTAAGAAGTTTTCCAATAAAATTTTTCCACTCAAATCAAAAAGAGTATGAATGAAGAAAGTAATAGGATGATATCACATTGTCAAGTGTTTTTTTTAGTGAATACACTAGAAGATGTTATAATCACTTTAAGAGGAAATTACTCAAACAATTTAACTAACAATTTCAATATGCAAAGTATGCAAAAAAAACAAAATTACAATAAAGTAAAATAAATATTGAATTAATTGAATTAATTTCATTTAAAAAATATTGTATTGTCTAATAAAAAATAATTAGGTTAATTTATGTTGATGAAATAAAATTAACTCTTAAATTATTATTATTATTATATATATATATATATATGTATATATATATATATATACCAAAACTCACACTTGGACAGTTTGGCATACAACTACCCCTCCCTCAGCACCTCTAAAACCAACCTCAGATGCTCACGGTGATCCTCCAAAGATCTAGAATACACTAATATATCATCAATGAAGACCACCACTAACCTGTCCAAGAATGACCTGAAAATCCTGTTCATGTAATCCATGAACACTGCCGGAGCATAAGTGACACCAAAAGGCATCATTACATACTCAGTCCTTATCGTCAACTTATTCAGTTACCGATAATCAACACACAAACGGGCCCCACCATCTGTTTCTCCAACAAATTCTCGATCTGTCTCTTCAACTCTACCAACTCAACTGGAGCCATCCTATAAGAAGCCACTGATACTGGTCCTGCACCTGTACCAGATCAATGCTAAGCTCAACATCATGCATAGGTGGCAATCCCAACACATCATCTAGGAAACACCTCAGGAAACTCATTGAAAATTTCAATCCAAGCGATGGCCCTCTTCGTCTCAACATTCAAGGCGACAAACAACATGAAGCACTCAGCTTCATCTCTCATCAACTACTCAGCCTAACCCGCTGACAACAACACCTCATCCTCCAACTGAGGAAATACCAACTCTCTTCAAGCACAATCTATAAGGATGTGATGGACAAATAACCAATCCATCCATAAGATTATGTCGATATCCACCATGAGCAACACAATCAAGTTCACTCGAAACCTCTTACCAAACACCTCTATTGTGCATCTCACACACATCTCGATGTCACCAAAGAAATTGAAGCCAGAGTAGATACATACAAATCAACATGCCATACAGACACTAACAACCCAATCTCCCCACATAATCGACAGAAATAAATGAATGTGTGGCACCAAAATCAAACAAGAACAAAACATCCTCACCTGCTACCTTTCCCTTCCCCTTCACCAAATCTAATGAAATGGAAGACCCATCACCTGATAAAGTGAAAACTCTCCTTACAACTATAGACCTAGGTGGCCTCAAAGCACTCCCAAATGGAGTCAATGGCATCCGACAATCTTTGTAAAGGTGGCCTGGCCTGCCACATCTAAAATAAACATTTCTCGAATGGGAACAAGCTCTAACCATGTGGGGTTTTCCACATCTGTAACACTGCACCGACTGTGCTCCACCCTAAGGAGTAGCAGGACGAGGTCCCCTACTAACAGCTTCTCTCTGAGACTAAACAGGCCTGTCATAGGGTCCTCTCTGCTGACCTCCCCTCCTAGATCTAGATGATCCCTTCTGAACTCTAGCAGCCTTGCCGCTGCTACCACCACCCTTCAATCTCTCAATAGTCTTTGCCTTCTCAACCAAGGCAGGAAACTCCTTTATGGACATAGGGACTATGACCCTCTTGAGCTCATGCCTCAACCCCTCTACAAACTTTCTACATCTCCAAGCCTCAATTATGGCCTGA